GAGAGATAAGGTGTTGGACCACATCCACTTCCCTCCTAAATTCGATGCAAATTGGTGTTGCTTTTCATACAATTACAAGATCCAATGGTTTATCCTTTTAACCTTATTTTTAGCTAAAATGTACGCTCCCACCAAACACCAACTTCATTTGTCTCCCCTTTCCTTTCTCTTTTACACTGTCAAAAGCAAAAAAGTTTACGAGTACAGCGTCTCTCACCCCCTCCCCCACACCTATTTTTTTTTAGGTAAATTATACGTTTGGTATTTAAACTATTAATAGGTAAATATGCTTAGAAAATTTATTCAGGTTGCTTTAAAATTATACTTATTTGGATTGCTTTAAAAATTGTTGTCCAAAATTTAGCTTTGAAAATTCATTTTAAAAAGTTAGATGAAAATATGGTTTGATACGTTACAAATGTTTGATATCGTTGAGAAAATGTGTCATAAAATATTGAAGTAAAAAATATATACATGTTTAAATAGATATGTGAGGATTAAACCAATTTTTATTAGTGAAACTCAAAATAATTTACGTGTTCTATCACAATAATTTACTTGTTTACCATGACTTTGGTCATGAAAAGTAGCCTTTCTCTCAAGTTATGCAAACAATAATGTTTCTTTAATAATTTAGCGTAGTTACAAAATATTATTTATTTAAATATTTTATAATTATCGATAACCCACACGTACCGTCAAACATAGCTGCTTGAATTTAAGATCTTTAAAGAAAACAACATTCCTTTTAACTACTAAGATCACTTAATGGATTCATACAAACTACAATGTTAACACCAGGTCACGTGGTTGACATTGCTAAAACCATTTGAAAGTGATTGAAATGTTAAATAGAAGTTTGGAGTTTGATTAAAGTTTTGGATTCAAAATTTTGACAATATAGCAATGTAAAAAATATTTTTTTAATCTTAATCTACTCGATAAATTAATTTTCTTTAAATCATTAAATGGATAGATAAGAAATATTTGTAATTTATAATTTATTTTATCTAAAATAACTTTGTTTTAGACGAGTAAAAAGTTATATCATCCGAAAACCAACTTTCAACAGAAGTAAGAATGTTATATTCCTTTAACATATTTTTTTCATTAAAAATTGATTATCAATTAAAAAGTTCTACCAACATTACAATCAGGGACGCGAAAGAGACTAATTTAGATCACAACCCAAAATATATTGAAACTTCTAAACAAGTTAAATCGAAATAATGATAAAATTATTATTTATCTTAGAAAAATTATAATAATAATAATCATAATAATTATATGAATCAAACGATCTCAAAGACTAGAGGGATATTCCTTTAAGTTCGAGTGTGAGCATATTGTCTACATGTGTATTTAAGAGTATGTTGTCAAATGATTGAAAAATAATCATCTCAAACTAATAAATTTTTTTAATTAAATTGTGAAAAAGTGTGCAATTAATCAATAAGTAACCAAAGAAAGAGTCGCAAATGTTAAAACATATAGTCACAATATCAAAATTAGAGCTTAATGTTTATTAAAATAATCATTTTGGTCTTTATTCATTTTGAAGCATTTTGGTCTCTAAAATTTTATTTTAAGACCAAAGGTTTTCTAACGTTTGACTGAATAATCATTTTGGTTATTATTCTTTATTTCTAGAGCATTTTAGCCCTCAACATTTCATTTTAAGGTAAAAGACCCTTTTTTGGAATGTTAACCGTTTGTTAACTAACAATTTACATCTATAGGTGGGTCTTTTTCCTAAAAAAAATGAAACGATGGAGGGATTAAAATGGCTTAAAAAGAATAGGGACTAAAAATAATTATTTTAATAAATGTTGTAGATTAATCTTGACAGTATGCCAAACATATATGTTGGTAAAAATTAAATTAATAGAAGAGGTTTGGATTAGCTAGGAACCCATAGCCAGCTAAGATACATATAGACGTGGGATTATTTTAACTACTTACTCCCTCGGTCCCCCCCTTGTCCCCTTCACACTTAATATTGCTCATCAATCATCACACACAAACAAGCATAAACAACCAAAGAGAAATCCATCATCCAACACGAATTCAGGGTCTTATTTCATTTATTAACCCCTCTGCAACACCTATTATTTTAGGGTAAACTACATGTTTAATACCTAAGCTATTATTTGTGTTCTTTTTTTATACCTAGACTTTAATTTTTTTATTTGGTACCCCGCGTTAAAAAATTATAAGAACTGCTGGTGTGACAATTTTTTATTTCAATGATGATGTGGCATTACTTTACAATGATACGTCAATATCACCGTTAAGCTTTTAACAATGTGATACTAAATCGAAACTTAAATAAACGTGATGTATGATTTAGAAAAAGAATTAAAGTTTGGGTATCAAAACGAACCAAAATAATAATTTAAGTACTAAATATGTAGTTTACCCTTGAAAACATTTAGTTGCATGTTTTACTCTTTTATGCTTGTGATCGAAGTTTCTGTCAATTGCACTTCATTTTCTTTTGGTGGGAAGGATTGTTGCTTTGTGCGGTTTTGATGTGCAGTATTATCGAGTGTGGAGGGACACTTCAAGGGAAGAGAGCTGTCAAGGAAAGCAATGAAAAGAGAATTTACTAGCCATTAGTCAAGACTCATCGTTCCAGCCGCCTTCGATGCCACATGTACGATTCTCAATAAGCAAGGGCAAGAGTAACCTAGAAATGTCCCTGGCTTGTTGAAGATAAGGTGGAATAATTGAAATAAGAGATAAACGAACTTTTGGATTTTGAATTATCTCCTTAAATAAAGAGAGATGTATATAATTAGGGTATCAAGCGACAAACTCTAATACTATTTTTTTTTCTCATCGTGAGGGGTAGCCGTCACAAGAGGACTGAAGACGAGCTTTTCTGCACTAAGTCCTTGACTAAGGCTTAATGGAGGAGAATTACATCGACTTTTCTCCTTAGTTTTTTTTTTTCCTCTTTCTTCTTGATTCTATTCGATGATTTGGTCTGTAACTTTGAGTGATTTGCACTCAGCAATGAACTAATTAAATTAGTTTGGGCTGTTGGGTTTATGATATTGTGAACTGATGATATTTTTCATATATTTCTGTAACCCCTAGATTCGATCTAAACATTGTGAATGAATCTAGTCAATTTTTTTATCAATAAAATAAAATAATAGAATCTTTGCAGTTCATTGAATAAGATCCAAAATATTTATAATAATATAGAAAAACAAATAAACATCGCATAAATAAGATATCACTCATATCATATCTATCTGAATTCAAATGTAACTATAAAATCAGTAATAGAGTCACATGTCATCAAAATAGACATATTAAAACCAAAGCCTAAAGTCTAAAGTCTGATGATACTTGAAAAGGTAAAATTATGGGGAAATGAGATCGAAAGTCTAATGTGCTTCTTAAAGTACCCAAAAAAAAACGGATATTAAAAGACCCATAAAAATGGATTCAGAAAACACCAATCCGATCACAAGAAATGAGTAGATTTCTCCTAACCATATACCCACCTGTATATAGGGTTGAGCGTTTAAACAAGTCAGAATAATTTTTTTTAATTATTCGAGTTTACGAGTCATATTTTATAATTTAAACTTGACATTAAATTTTTTTTAGTCGAGTCGAGTTTGAAAAATTCGATTCGAGTTGAATCAACTTGAATTTTTAAGTTTCTATTTAAATTTAATTATAAATATTTATAATATTATGAAATTATTTGATTCCAATTTAAATGATTTTTTTATAACCATATACAATACATATATATTTCTTCATTTTTTTTATATGTGATATACATATATCATACAAAGTCGAGTAACTTGACTCAAACTTGAAAAACAATCTACTAATTACTAAAAATTTCGAGTTATTCAAGTTTCATTTTATAACTTGATTTGAACATGAAATTTTTTCGAGTTTGAATTTATGAAATTATAACTCAAAGTCAAATTTGAGTTGAGTCGAAAAATTTGATTTTTTTAGTCGAGTCGAGTTTTTTGCACCTCTACCCATACACCCGGTAAGGACCTTCTGCATATAGCATAAGGACCTACGATAATGACTTACCCAATGCACAAAGCAGATGAGCCTACGGTAAATTCTTACAAGTTATAAACTATGTCTTAATACTTCCTTCGAACATATCCCTCTCATGATAGTAACATGTATTTTAAGAAAAACACTAATATGATATATCAAAATAAAAAAACATTCCGATAATTCAAAAATAAGTAAACAGATCACAAAAATAACGGTAACTAAAAATCATGCCTCTAAAACATATAATCAAAAATATCGGATCAGATCATTACTTAATGAGACTAACCACACGTACCTTCATAAGATATGAATTTTGAATTAATACAGTATTCAAAGCATATAAGACATAATGGAATACTAAAGTCACAAGAGAAGTTTCAAATTAATGGGCTTGTTTTAGGGCTTTCGAGTCAGACGTAACGAACTCTCTAAGCTGGTAAGCATTACACATCAAAATGCAATTACTTAATTATTATTTGATCTAATAATTCCATAAAGTCTGGCCCAAAACATGGAATTCAACTCAAGCTTCTAAATTTGCACAAAGTGACAAATTCCAATCCGTGGGCCTTCTTACAAGGAGATTGGTAGTGCAATGTGTGAACCATCATTTCCCAATGTTTTGGGAGAAAATGAAGGCCTCTCTTGTGTTATCAGCTATAGCCAATATATGTGTGTAATGTGTTCTGCTTTCACGGCTGTACAATCACCATTCACCAACCACGGCCCTTTGATGGGATCCAAAGAGGATCGTTGAGAATTTCTTGGCCTCTGCTTGTAAATCAAAAGCAAACAAACAATACCATCACAGCCACAAATCTCTTAATTTCTGTCTCTTTGTGTGAAATCCACTCTTCACCAGAGTTGTTGGTACCCAACCACCCTCTTGTGGCCCTCAATCCTACCCTGAGATTCCATTTTTAAGCCTCTTAACCCCTCAAAAGAAAGGAACTTGGAGGGTGCCTTTTGCTGGAAATACTCTGTCACTTTCTGGTATTGAGTCAGCTCTGCGTCTCCTTTTTGGTTCGTTTCTGAGTTTTGCAGAATTTGTTTTGGATCTCAGTAATGGGGTTTCTTTTCTTTTTCCCTTTTGAAGCAGATTTGACAACTTGGGTTGGGATTTAATACTCCATCAAATTCGATTCAGTTTCATTTTCTAACGTTAAAGGTAAAATCCCTTCGAATATGTGTAGTATAAGACAACTTCTGGTTTTTAACTCTGTTATGTTTGAATTTCATCCATTTGCCATAATCTTTTTGTCTTTTCCAGTTCCCATTTTCAGGGAACTACCCCTTGTTTGTTAACTTCGATTGAAATTGCTGATTTTACGGTTTAATGATATTCAAGTTCTAAAAATAGATGCAAAACTCCTTGGTTGTGATGTTGTAACTAAAGCATTCAACCTTAAACTAAATCAACAACAAGAACTAGTTGCAATGAAGATTGTTTCCCTTGATGTCTTGTAATTGAGTTTTAATTGTATTATAAATGGTGCATCTTAATTATATTATTGCTTCATGCATGCTTAACATCTGCACAGATGGGAGATGTAGCTAAGGACCTAACATCTGGAACCGTGGGAGGAGCTGCACAGTTGATAGTTGGGCACCCTTTTGATACCATCAAGGTGAAGCTTCAGAGCCAGCCTGCTCCGCTCCCCGGTCAACCGCCTAAGTTTTCTGGTGCTATGGATGCTGTGAAGCAGACTGTAGCTGCTGAAGGCCCCAGGGGCTTGTATAAGGGTATGGGGGCTCCACTAGCCACTGTGGCAGCCTTCAATGCTGTCCTCTTCACTGTGAGAGGGCAAATGGAGGCATTACTGAGATCAGAGCCTGGCGCCCCCCTCACGGTTAACCAGCAGGTCATTGCTGGGGCTGGGGCTGGAGTTGCTGTCTCATTCTTAGCTTGCCCCACTGAATTGATCAAATGCAGGTCAGCTTAATGGCTTTTCATATTCCCTTTTCGTGTTAATTGCTTTATATGTCTTCAGATTATGGTCCAAAATTTAAATCGATCTCAATTTTTGAAAACGTTCTAATCGATTTCCTAAAGTGTCAGTATTGTGTCAAACTAATAGATTTGTTGTTAAAATACAAGGTCAAATAATTAATACGTGTGCACTTACTGCATGAGCAGCTTGGATCTAACATTCTTATGTTGTAAGCAGATTGCAAGCCCAGAGTGCGTTGGTGGCCGACGCTGGCTCAGCTACTGTGGCAGTGAAGTATGGAGGGCCAATGGATGTAGCCAGGCAAGTGCTGCGATCCGAAGGTGGTGCAAGGGGTCTCTTCAAGGGCTTGGTTCCCACCTTGGCTCGTGAGGTTCCCGGAAATGCTGCAATGTTTGGTGTTTACGAAGCATTGAAGCAGTACATGGCAGGAGGGACTGACACATCAAAATTGGGAAGAGGATCGTTGATTGTAGCCGGAGGCTTGGCGGGAGCTTCGTTCTGGGGCTCTGTCTACCCAACTGATGTTGTCAAGAGTGTGATCCAAGTAGATGATTACAAAAATCCGAAATACAAAGGCTCCATACATGCCTTTAGGTCCATCTTAGCATCAGAGGGAGTGAAAGGGCTTTACAAAGGGTTCGGCCCCGCCATGGCACGAAGCATCCCTGCAAACGCAGCATGCTTCTTGGCATATGAAGTGACAAGGTCTAGTTTAGGCTAATCAATCGTTGTTGTTGTGGTTAAAAACTTAAAATTGTTATCATATTTGCTTCTGTTGATGTTTAAATTCTGGTGACAGGGTCTCCATTCTTCAAGATTGATGTTAACAGTTTATATTTGAAATTAATACCCAAGCTCACAGTCTAGATTTGGGCCGTCAACAAAATTTAAACACAATGGGAGTCGAACCCATGATTTTTGATCCGAAGTCAGATTCGCTACTCCACTGCGCTATGCGGTCACGAATAAATTCAACTTTTAATTTAATACTAAGGCCAATTATCAGATTTGGACAGTTGGTTGGAGTAAACAAAATGGATAAACTACATATTTGAGGACCCGTTTATTTTCACATTTATGTTTGAGCCATAATATTATTTTTTAAAATCATTTTTAATATGACGTTAAAAAATTATGTGTCATCATCTGGTGTGAATAAAATCAATTTTTTTTTAATATATTGATTGAGAAAACCCAACTTTAACCCTCTATAAAAAATAAGCTGAGCATGCTATTTATTATAATTTTATTAAAATTTATATTTAACTTATATTATATTACCATCACAAAATAAACCAGTTTTGTAAATACAAAATTAGAACCTAAAAAACCTTGGCATAAATGTCTAAATGGGACTAAAAGCTAGACAAAAATTGAAAAGTAAACATCATGTGTCATCAATGGGACTAAAAGCACCTATATCTCACATTAAAATAGACATGCAACGTTTTCCCCCAATGCAATGGCCAAGAAAATTACAATAAACAAAAGAAAATATAAAACCCAGAAAATATTATTGAATCATGCAAGTAAAGAAAAAGAAGTATATATATATATATATAAACCTTTGGTATAAGAATTGCTTTGTAGAGGAGGTCAAATATAGTTGGGATGAAGCCAAATCATTATTAAACTTAAAAGTACCCAAACTATGAAAGAATTGCCTTTCTTAGCTGGATTAGGTTTGGTGGGAGAATATCCATTATATTTGTTTTCATTAAAATTAAATTCATAAAAAAGTTTAATTTGGTATTATTTTTTAGGAAAGGCACTGCTCCCACCTAATTGAGATTGTGGTTTAAAAATTCAAATTTGTTTAAGCCATCAAAGATGTGACTTCGATAGGAGGAGAAGCCAACAAATGAATCCATAAAATTAATATTGATTTTAAAAAACATAAATGATAAAGTATTAAAATAATCACTTTTATTATATTTTTTTCACTGATTATTTCTTTAGAAAAAAGTTAATATTCTGATAATTTATACTATCGATTTATAACGTTTTATCAATTAAACGTTAAATGTTGTTACTTTGATGACATAACAAGCTAGTGAAAAGAATTAGTTTTAATTTGATTTTCAGACTTTTGATGAAATATCAATTTGACCTTCAAATTTTAGAGATAAATATTAATTTTACCTTTAAATTTTAAATAAAATATTAATTTAACCCTTAACTCTCGTCAAAATCCTCACCGCTCACCACCATTGGATTCGTGCACCTTCATCACCACCGCTAGTCACAAATACTCATCGTTGTCGATGATTATTAGACCCTAAAATTTATAATACATTCTCTTTTTGATTGCTTTTATTCCAAAGAGTTTCAAAATTCTTGGTCCAAAAAATTTAGAGGTTGCATAACTTCTTGATGATTTTGAATCTCTTTACCTAGTTTTAATACTTTTATCCTGAAATTTCAAAAGAAAATACTTTTAAATGTTTTTAATTAAACATGTCCAATTAACCTCTAAATCTTATCCAACTAAACATGTCTTTAACTGTATAAAAACACATTTGGGTCGACAATACTCATCCAAAATAAAGATTTCTCCATCTCTGTCTCATTAATGCACTTATAATCCATTTGTTATTCATAAAATACTCTTATCTTCTTTGCATTTTATGCATATGTCATGTGTTATCATGAACATTACTCGTTATCATTTCTTACATGGAACATATCTTGAATTTCCTTACATCGTTTTTATAAACTTATCATCATTACGATCAATGTATTTTAGTTTACACAAAGCAAAGGTACGTGAGTAACAAGGTACTATAGTGAAAACATTATTAGAAGATGACGTATAGAGAAAAGTAGATAGCCATCTCGAGTGACTAGGACACATATGCAAACAAGTTTGAGAGAGGTCGGATATAGAAAAACTACCATCTTGGTAACAAGGGCACAAGTGCAAGTGGCACATAAAGGAAAATAATTGTCATATAAGGGGCACATAAAGAAAAGCAGCTCCCATCGAGAGCATCATAGCACAAAAAGAGCTCCAAAGAGTAATAAAGGGCACCAAAGTGCAAACAAGGACTCGAGCTAAATTTTATGACATGCCATTGTACCTAACTAGTTCCACCTTCTACATAGACAATAAATAAACATTTTCATTATATATAACTTGTCATTGCGTACATGTTTCATAACGTAATTCATATTTGCCTTGTATTATATCATTTATTCTTTCAGTACCACATACCCAGAATAATTGTTGTATTCAAAGTTCACTGATCATGTCATACATATATTTTAAACATGCTTGGTTCTATATTATACCCTAGTTGCTATATATTTACATATATAGCTTATTAGTGCAAATCATGCATTTATACACTACTTCACTTTCATATTCACTTATATCTTTAATATTTATTGTAATCATGTTTCATATCATATACATGAACACACTTTGAATCCTGATATTTTTATATTTCATTTATGTCATATATATTAAATTGTATAAGCTTTTATAATATCATACTTTATCATTCATTCATGCTTATAAGCACATCATAAAGTATATCCATAAAATATGTAACATCATATTTTTATCATTCATTCATGCTTATAATCACATCATAAATCATATCCATAAAATATGTAACATCAAGCCATTCAATTGTAACATACACAAAATCAAAACATAGAGCACTCACCTTGACAGCATAAGCTTGTCATCAAAGCTTTATTATAAAATCTACACTCTTCCATCTTCTCTTTTTAATAGGATGATTTCTTTTTCTTTTTCTTTTCTTTGATAGTTTTCTCTTTTACTAATTTTGATTAATCAAAAATCGCTTTCAAGATAAACATAAAACTGTGATCATTAAGTTCTTGGGATCATTTTTCTCATCATAGATTTTCCTTTTCTTCTTTCTTTTTTATATCATGAAAGATGAATACTGGCATGTATTTGTAGAATATCTAATGTTATTTTCTTTTTGTTTAATGTAATATACATAAGTAATTTTTTAATTTTTTCTATTTTATTTTTTAATATAAAATATCTAATAGTAATATCTAATGGTATTCTCTAATCACTAGTTAACTGGAACTATAATCCAAATATCAATTTCTTGATTTTTTTATCAATTTTACAATTTGATACTGAACTTTTATTTCTTTTCAATTTGGTTTCTTTTTATCCATATCAATCCATCACTGGTAGAAATCATGAATAATTACTTCATAAGGGTCAAAATAATCAATTACCACATAATCAAGATTCTTGGGTAAAATCATCATTTTGCTCCTAACATTTTATGCTCTTTTCAATTTAGTCCTTAGTCTCGATTTAAATACTTCTTCGATAAAACGACATTTTCATATTTCATGCAATCCTTTAATATCATTATAATCAATAATAAATTCAATATTCAAACTATTATTTTTGTATCAAATTTAACCAGATTTTAACATCATAGAAACTAGGATATTACATTATTTTTCTTATATATGTTTACGCTCTCGTATTCTTATCATCAAATAATGATTTCAGGTGAAGAATATGAGACTTAAGTTTAAGTCTCTAAGGAAAAGTTTAATCGTTTTTCATTTTTTCTCAAACAAAACACAAATAACATGTAAGTATTGTTAGAAATGCTAAGAATACAAAGTAAATCTCATATGGGAAAGAAAAAGAGTTTAGCGATGGTTTATATTCTCTCTTCTTTATTGAGCATTGGTAGATATGCATTTGTTTCCAGTTAACCAATCCTTGACTCGTGATTCATGGTTTGTGGTAATTATGGATCTTCGACATGTATTGCACACGTATAATATTTTTAGAGAAAATATTATGTTGTTTCTAAATTATTGAGTTGGGAATGGAGAACCTCTATGATATTTATAGGTTGTGTTTGGTATGGATGTTTCATTGTCTATTACTGAAATTAGGGGAGCGTTTTGACTACTGATTTTCAGTCATTGTCTAGGTTGTCATTGTAATTATGCAATGATTGATTTAATTGTTACAAACATTTGATTTACAACTTATTTGAGATAACTCATTAATTATATTTAATGAGATATTTTCTAGACGTTTTTATCTTCTTCTCGACCTATAAATAAATAGCAGAGCCTTCTATAAGGGGAGCAACTTGAGCGACATCTCAGGGGCCTCATTTTTTATAGGTACCCGTCGTTAAAAAATTAACAGAACTACTGATGTGACATTTTTTTATTTTTTTCAATAATGTCATGACATTACCTTATGGTGACACCTTAAAATTCCCGTTAAGTTTTTAATGGTGGGGTACCAAAATGAAAATAAATTAAATGTTAGGTATGATTTTGAAAAAAAAGTTTGGATACCAAAATAAAATAAAATAAATAGTTTTAATACTAAATGTGTAGTTTACCCTTAAATGTATTGACGGCCAAATATTTGACTCTATAAATATTGAGTATCTCTTAACCTTTAGAATCATGAGAGATAATTATTTTGGAGAGATGTAATCCTTTTGTAGTCTCTCTAACTTTTGAGATTTACGTTGCAGAGATCAATTATGTAATCTATAAGGAGAGTGATTTTGAATCCACTGTGTTTTGGTATAAATATCGGGTCTTAGGATGGATTATTATTCTTCTTAACCATGGAGGCAAGTAAACCAAATCACGATAAATTTTGTCTCTTTTATATGTCTTATTTTATATGTTGATCTCGTTTTGGTTATTTTTATGCTCTTAAATTCCTAATAAATGGTATTAAAGCCATGAATTAATTTATGAGATTTCAGAGGATGTTTGTTAATTTTACTACAACGAATTTCCAGTTATAGAGGAACAATTCTTAATTCATTTAATAATACTTCAATAAATATTATGTAAAAATTAAAGTTATTGAAGACTTGACGATAATGCTTCAACATATTTTTAGCTTATACAAAAATTGAAGGTGTTGAAGTTTTGAAGACCAATATGAGAATATAGTTTGTGTTAGGGAGGAGAATTTTAGATATTGACTCATATTTTAATTGACAATTAAATTGGATTTTATTGCAATTATAGTGGTGGAAGATTAATTGATAATTGAGTTTATTCATTAAGTAAATACTTATTTTAGGTAAAAAAATCTTATGGAATTAGTTTTCTTGCTAACTAAGTATTTGACTATATAAATATAGAGTTGGTCTTAACCTAAGGTGGCGTTTGGTTCGTTGGAATGTATCTGAGGGAATTGGAATTTGTGAAGGAATTGGAATCCAATTCCATATTCTGTTTGGTTGGCAGGAAATTGAATTGGAATACAATTCCATATTCTGTTTGGTTCGCAGACATGTCAGATGAATTTGATTTCAGTAATGTAAAATGACAGGATTGCCCTTCTTGTTTTTTTTTTTGCTTAATTTTAGTTTGTTTTATAAATTACATGTAGCAATATATTATAAAATTTTAAAAAATATTAAATTTTAATTTTATTGATTGATTATTCATTTCAATAAATTATAAAAATCATGTTAATAAACATCATAAGTTAAAATCATCTCAATTAGGGATGGACATGGGTCGAGTTTTTGGTCAACCCGGCCCGAGAACAAGGGAACCTCCATCCGAGACCCGACTCGACCAAAATAAAGTTTCACCCGACCCGACCCGAATATATGAATTAGAAACCCGACCCGATCCGAAATAATAAAAAAATATTTTTATTCAATAAAAACATTGACTTAATTGAAAAAAAAAATTATATATAGAGGGGTATTATTGTAATAATTCCTAAATATATAAGATAAAATTATATATTTTTTGGGTCGGGTCGGGTTGGTTATTTTTCACCCTAAACTCAAACCCGACCCGAATATCACACTTAAAAAAAGCTGACCCGACCAAAATAAAGTTTCACCCGACCCGACCCAACCCGAAATAATAAAAAAATTATTTTTATTCAATAAAAACAATGACTTAATTGAAAAAAATTATATATAGAGGGGTATTATTGTAATTATTCCTAAATATATAATGTAAAATTATATATATTTTCGGGTTGGGTATTTTTCACCCTAAACCCGACCTCGACCCGACCCGAATATCACACTTAAAAAAACCGACCTGACCCGACCAAAATAAAGTTTCACCCGACCCGAATATATGAATTAGAAATCTGACCCGAAATAATAAAAAAATATTTTTATTCAATATATGAATAAGTTACCAAAAGATTAATGAGGATAGTATGGTCAAATTTCAATTCCCACCAACAAGGGAATTTAATTCCATTATAGAATGGATGGAATTCACTTTCCCTCATTTGATGAAAAGTTGAAGTCATGAGGGATTCTAATTCCCTTTGAAAACTTGAACCAAACAGTAGGGATATAATGAGAGTGATTTGGGATGTTCCGGTTTTTTGTATTGATACCAAATTTTAGGATATATGACATATTTGTACCCTTTATAATCTGAACATTTATAATGTATTATTGTTCTTCTCATATGTTAGGATAAATAAAGTTAAACCACGTTAAATTTCATCACTTGCGTCTTTTTCCATAATATTATCATTTTATTATTTTTTTTCACTTACGAAATTCTAATATTTTACAAATGATATTGAGAGTGAATTTATCGTCGGTGAAGACAAAAGGTTGTTTACCGGGAAATTCATTGTAATGAAGTAGTGATGATGAACGAAATAATAGATAGTTATAAAGATTAAATTTATTAAATTATTTAAAATAATATTAAATTTATAAATATGAAAAGATTAAACTATATTATCTTAATTAAAAAATAGGTCATGTTTGTTTGACTATTATTGATTTAATGAAAAATGCTTGGATTGATATCAAAATAAAAAATAAAAAATTGAATGGATGCTTTTATTTATTAAATATCAAAATATAATCAACTGAATAATTTACCCAAAAAATGTTAAAAGGCAGGTTGATCTGTCAAGCGATCAACTTCAAATTCTCTGAGCCCAAACCCACCTGTCCCCTTCACCTGCTTGACACCCCACTTTTTAATTTTTAAAATTCATTTCAGTTTCTCTATTTTGTAATAAATTAATTTCCTATTTCCTCTTTTACCCCTACACTTTCCCATAATCTCTTTCCCATAAATACACCCAACAAACCCTTGTCTTCTTATTTTCCTCTCACTCTATTTCCTCTATGGCTGAATCAAAACCCGACCCATCACCCGACTCCGGACCCACCGCTCACCACCTCACTCTCCCTACCGGCTTAACCCACGATGAGTTCCACGAGTTGATCCCCAGCATAACTCAGTTCCACACCTACTCCGTCGGCTCAGACAAATGCTCCTCCTTATTAGCCCAACGTATCAGCGCTCCATGCGACGCGGTTTGGTCCATAGTCCGCCGTTTCGACAAGCCCCAAACCTACAAACACTTCATCAAGAGCTGCGCCGTCACAGATGGCTTTGAAATGGTCGTCGGCTGCACGCGTGACGTCAACGTGATCTCCGGCTTGCCCGCTGCCACCAGCACCGAGAGGCTCGATATTTTGGACGATGACTTGAAGGTAACCGGTTTTACTATTATAGGAGGGGAACATCGGTTGAGGAATTACCGGTCGGTGACGACGGTGCATGGCTTCGAACGCGACGGGAAGATCTGGACCGTGGTTTTGGAATCTTACGTCGTTGATGTCCCCGAAGGGAATACGGAGGAAGACACACGGTTGTTCGCGGATACAGTGGTGAAGCTCAACTTGCAGAAGCTGGCGTCCGTCACCGAAGGGATGGCGGCGCGTGATGGCGACTGTAATAAATAACAGGTGATATGACAAAAAGAAAAGAAAAAATAAATAAAAATTGTCCCTTTCTTATTTCGCTTCATCTCTTTTTCATTTATTTATTGTCTTTGAATTATGTGTTTTTTCTTTCTTTTTAATTTTAATTGGCTTTTTATATGAAATTACCGGGAAGCCCTTGTGTGAAACTGTGGTAAGAATCAATAATGTTTTCAGATGATTTTTTACAATAAATTATATTGGAAAAGAGTTTAGATAAATAAATGCTATTAAAGTGGGAATTAATTTGAGAGCATTTTGTTTTGTAATTTATAATCAAATAAATACCCTTGATTAAGACAAAGGGTGTCTTAATATGAGTCAGCTCCCTCCAATCCCATAGAATATGTTCTTTTGACTTTTGCCTTAAAAAGCTCAAGAATCTAATATATCTTTCAATACTATTAACAAAGTGTGCTCGTAACTAATTCGGTATTCTGTTATTAATTCAGACTAAAAAAAAGAACAATGTTTACCCTTTGATATATGTTTAAAACTTTCTAACTTATTGATAATGTATATATATCTTGCAAATTTAGGATCTCACGATAAAATAATATTCTTTTAACATATATTCACAATATATATTTTACATATGTAATTGATCGAATTTAAAATCTTTAAAAAATAATATTATTTTACTAGTAAGATTACGACAGAGGCCACTCTATGTGTGCTATATATATGGTAGAGTGTAAGACTTTTAATTTTGTGGTCGTGGGATCGAGTCTCACGGTGGATAATTTATAATTTTGACTGTCGGAGATATTCTACGGAAGTTACTCTTAATTTAATGTTGGAGGTAATTTACTACCTTACTTTCCCTCATCTCATTACATATGAAAATAGAAAATAGGATAAGCTAATTGGTAGGTTCATTTAAGTATACATGGCAATTGCCACTTCTTTGAGATATGGCACGCCCTGAGTTACTTTTCTATGAAAAGAAAATGAGGTTGACTGATTGAAGCAAAGAATGGTGGGGTAGGGGTAGTTATTGGGTGAATAAAAATGGTCAATGAGGTGGCTGTTCAACAACGGAGAAACGGCTATTACGACCACCCTTCATGGCCGGAAGGAAACGTTTTTAGGGTTTCAAAACCAAATACCCGACCATCCGAACGTACATTATTAGGGGTGTTTATTATCGGGGTAAGATACATCATTTCTTGTATTTTTAATTTTTTAATTTACTCATTAATTTTTCTAATTCTTCATATTTTGTTCCCTCTAAATTATTTTATTTTATTATTATTCATTAAATTTTCTAATTGCTCTTATTTTTGTCGTTTTAAATTATTTTATTTTATTATTATTTTTGTATGACTAATATTTTTTACTATTATTTATTATTAAAATAATTTAAAATATAACATAAGAACAAAAGTTAGAACACTATTATTTAATATTAAAATAATTTAAAATATAAAATAAAAACAAAAAGTTGGATGTTTATTTTTGTCGACGTTAAACGCAACTGTCAACAATTGTAGATGGTGGTCGTTCGATTTTACGACCAAGTCTGGATTTAACCTTCATTTTCTTGGAACATGTTCTAAATTCGACCTCTATTTTAAATTTTTAAAATTTAATAATAAAAAAATTATTTCATTATTTATTTTAAATTATTTTTATATTTTAATTATAATAAAAATTCGACGTCATATCACAATAATAACAAATTAATTATTAAATAAACGTGATTAGAACATGAATAATTTGAAAGTTAAATTAATAAATTTAAAAATAAAAATATAATAAATGAAATAAGAGAAATAATAAAATTCAATGAACATGCATGTTTGGGTAGTATCTTTTTTCGGGGTACTGAAAACAGTTGGCCTGTGCTTCGGCCTGTGAAACTTGGGTACTTGCAAAATCCAAGTACACGTTAGTTTGGATTTTCTTTTACAAACAAATCAATTTTAATTTTTAAAAACTTTAACAAGGGACAAACTTAAAATCTTAAAAGTTTAAATTACATAATATTTAAATATAAAATTTAGAGATCCAAAATACATAATTTAAAAAGTGAAATTTGAACAAAAGAAATATAGTTGGTTTCTTTGAAACTCATCAATGATTGTTGTTAATCATTCTGAGGTTAAATCTTTTATCTTTACATCAAACATTTCAAATATGCAATAACAATGTAGATTTAGAAAATATTTAAACTGAAAAAAGAAATAAGAAATTGAGTAGTGGGTACATGTTTTAGTGAGATTTGGTCGAATGAGGCCTGATCCGTAAACTTGTAAAAGTTAGTGGGTCGGGTATCTAATCTGGAATTTTTTTAGTGAAAAAATGGATAAATTTTAATTAAATTAATAGGTTAATAAGTCGTTGCTCATAGGGCGAAGCCCACCACAACCGTAATAGCAGGCTCATCCTCTTCATGATCATTACCATGCTCTTACTCCGATTCTTCTTTTGGCAATCTAACTCAATTCATGGAGAATCCATATTTCTCATTATAACCTAATTTTTCATTAGAAGCACGTTCGATGGTGGTCAAATGATCACATGACAGTGACAGTGAATTTGATTCTGATGGTGGTCTAATATCCATTTTTTTTCGAGGGATATTAAATTTGCTAGATCCGTCTTCCGAAAATATTTTCCTTATTTTTTTAGCTTCCTTGGTGCCAGAAGATTAGAGATACTTCAAGATCTTACTACGATTGTGAGGAGCAGAGATGAAGTGTGCATAAGATCTTTAACAGGGTATAACAAAAATCCACAATGATATATGTAACAATCTAATCTATAACTATTATCAAATAGCTGTGATTAATTACTTTTCAATATTATGCTCTAATACGTAAGTTGAACAAAATAAAACTAAAATTGAACTGCTCCAAATTACACAAATTATAATGATATGAACAAAATAAATATGATAAAATATAAAAAAAAACATAAACATCATATGAATAAATAAAAACGTTAATATCTATATAAAATTAATTATTTTTACATTAAAATCTATATGAAATTATTCTATTTTAAATACAAAAAAGTTAAAATGATAAGAAATAATTCTCGAAGTTTATCACTTTTTTTTTTTCAATTACACCTTTAAAAAAATTTATTTGGTAATCTACACTCTAAAATTTAGTTCTTTTTAATTAAATCCTTTTTTAAATGATCAACTAACAGTCAATCAATCGTCAATGTATTTACTAAAATGATTTGACAACATTGAGAGCACAATTGGGATTTTCTTTTTTGAAAAATAACATAAACACAAAAATGAACTTTATTTCCTTCTATTTTTTTTAATACTATGTTGTCATTCAACACACAAACTGGAATCAAGTAAAATGGCAGCTTGGGGACAAGTTTTGGTGATAGGCATAGATTGGGTCCAAGTTTAAGTTTAGTGCTCCATTAGCAATCTGTGGCCCTGACTGACTGCAGTTTAAGTTTACCTACATACATAGACGCACACTTGTGAATGCCTCAATGATAAATATCAAAACCCTTTGCTTCATTAATGAACCAAGCTCCATTTCCTTTCCTTCCCCCCAAGGAAAGCTGGGTAATAAATGACGTTACTTCAAGGATATAAACGCTTCCCCCTAAAGCTTTGTTTCTATCCCAAGTCCTTAATCCAACTTTCAAGCATATATACACACACACACACGAGGTAAGATCCAGTTACACAATTTAAAATTAAAAAGTTTTACACTGATTTAATATCGTTAGACAGGTAAAAATAAACGGCTGAGATTAACGTTAAGAAGTGAGAAAATCTTAGACCTCAACCGTCTATTTCTACTCATCTAATCTAACGATCCTAGATCAGTGTAAAACTTTATAGTTTTACATTATATAAATGGATCCTAACCCTATATGTATATATACATCAGAAAACGACCTAGTTGTGGACCCATGGAAATGATAACTAGTATGTGCGTACACATGTATATGCAGAAAAGAAAGATGGTTCAACAATCGTTCTTCAAACAAAAATTCCCTAACACACTCCACTTGAAATTCATTTATCCGAGTCCTGAGATATATTATTAGGTCTTCAAATGCATGATATATGATTATTATTATAACAACATGCATGATGATGTAATTGGAAGCCCCAAAATGTATAACCATATCTCTGGCATCACATCAGCAAACAAGGGGAACAGTTGAGCATCATCATACTTCACTGAAATATCTTGAGCAGAAGTAGAGTTTTAACACCATGTGCTTTTATTTTGAATAACATGGAAAAAGAAATAATGAAAGGTGCTTGAATATTTTATTGCCACATGCTCACTAATGAACAAGAATTCAACTAAAACTAATGAGGAATCCACAACAGTACAATTACAAAAGAGATAAAAAAAACTAAATTGCCTACCTATATTTTCTTTTTACGCACGAACCTATGCTCCTTTCAAGTTACAGCTGCTGTCAGGATGTTCAAACTTAGTTATCCAATCTTCACTATTTCCTATGTAAAACGTGTTCAAGAATACAAAGAGCATTGCAGCTGTTATGTAGCCTAAGTGCAAACAACTTGCGAAATGGGTATGGACATTACAAAAGACACAAAACAAATAAAGAAAGAAACACTTACACGAGCAGTATACATTATACTTTCCGACCAAACTTGAATGAGAAGGATATGATTCAGTATGAAGAAAGTCCAAATTCCTCAATGAGTATGGAACTGATGGGAACAACACTAATACAACTTGGATTATTGATCCCTCCATCTTGGACTTGGGTAGGGGAAAAAACCAGGAGACAATGGAAACGCAAGACCAGGAGAAGGTGGAGGTTGAGGCCCTGGACCTAAAATCCCCGACTGACCCATTGGGGAGAAAGCAAAATTGGGACTCAATGGAGGAAATTGAACCCCGGGAGAAAGCAACCCGTAAGGTGAGCGGGGGGACAGCAAATTCATATAGCCAGAAGGTGATGGCAAAAGGAACTGAGAAGTCGGTGAAGGTAAAAGACCAAGCCCGTTCATCCTTGGTGATGGAAGATTGGGCATTCGTGGAATGGGACCATTCATTCGTGGAGAAGGGAGATTAGGCATCATTGGTGGACCATTTACTCCTCTTGGGGAAGGGATTGCCGGCATCGGTGGAGTAGGAAGTAAACCGGAAGATGTTGGTGGAGCATTAGGCTGCCCTGGAACTCGAGGGTGTAGTTGAGGATGGCCTTGATTTCCAACTGGACTTGGATCTATAAGAGAAGTCTGAAGGTATCGCATATAAGCTGATATAGGAGATTCAGCTGTGTTTGCCCATCGAGCATCTCCAGGAACCATAGGTTGCAACATTGTAGGCAATGGCTGTCCATATTGACCAGGTCTAACAAAGCCAGTGTTATAAGGAACCGGAGGTGGAACAGGAGCTGGTGCATGAGAAGGAGCGGGGGCGGGAGCAGGGGCTGGAATGGGAGGAGGAATACGAGGCCGATTGATTGGTGCCAATGGTGGAGGCCTAATTCTCTGCAACCTCATACTTTGGGGTTTGGGAGAATTCTGTGGGGGCCTTCGCAAAGGATCATTATGCAAAGGCGAACCGGTGAGCTGTTGAACAATATTCCGGAAATCATTTTTGCTAATATTGTAAACCTGGGGCTGGGGCTGAGGCTGCTGCCTAGCTGCATTATTAGCAAAATTAGGTTGATGCAATGGGCTCTTCTTTATATTCTTGCCCATTTTGTTCACGCCAAGATGATCATTAAGCCGATTCTTTGAATTATCCATTTCAAAAAACTAAACTGCAAAGTGAACTACAGCAAAGTAATCCCAAATTCCCAGACACTTACAAAGTCAAACCATTCAAAAGCTTCGACAGAAGATCCCAGAACCTTAAAATTCAAGCTCGACACCAACTAGAAATCTTTTCACAACAATATGCTGCAAAAAAGGGATTGCTAAACAGTGTCGACTTTCTCTAGATATCCAGAAGGGTGCAGTAATAAAAAAGCATCGAAGTTTGGGATTCCAAACTCAAATCTCCACCAAAAACCAAACCCTAAGTCTGATCTTCAACGAGAAAAAAAACGCAACCTTTTCTCCAAACCAAAAAACCCTAAAATATAATTTCATCAATTTTGTCCCCTCGGAATTGCCACAAAAACTTAACTCAGGTTCCTGCATCATAAAGATAAAATGTCCAAACTCAATCCATCAAAATTCCCACTCAAAAAACAAATCTCAGATTAGCAGACTACAACAAAGATCAAACATTTATAAAACAATTATCCCCGAAAAGAAAATCCCACGTCATAAAATTCAATAAATTTCACAACAACTAGATTAGAAGTGTTGGTAAAAAGAGAAAATATAAATATAAATGATACTGTGAACGAAAGAGAATGAAAAACATACCAGGTTTTTTAATTTTGAAGTCAGCACGAAGATCTTCCTCCTCTATGTAAAATTAGGGGGGGAAACTGAAATTAAACGAAAAATCTGAAGGAAGAGAAAGCCTGAAAGGAAAGTAAACCCTAGGGCTAGTGAGGGATCTGCTGCAGGAGACTAACGTGCACTGTGGGTCAACATGGAAATGAATCCATCCGTTCATCTTCATTTTTTACTTTTTTTTTTCTCCTGCGTTGTGTGGATCCAAATAATTAGTAATGATGAAATGATGCGTAAGATAAATGGAAAATAAATAATACGGATTATTATTTAATACACAAAGAGTAAATTACCCCATTCCTCAATGAGTATTATACTCTTTCCTATTTTACTCATTATATTTTTAATTTTTAAAATTTACTCAATAAATTTTTAAATTACTCATATTTTGGTTACTACAAATTATTTTATTATTATGATTCTATGACATGATATTTTTTATTATTAAAATATAAAAATACAACAACAACAACAAAAATCTTATTCTCATATGCAATAGGGTAAGGGGGAGGTAGGGTAGTAGGCTGCCCCCAACGCCGGGTTGAGAACAGCTTCCGTGGAAGACCTCTGGCAGTCAAAAAATTAAAAGTAAAGATAAAATGCAATGCATGTATAAATAAATAAATCCCTGCAAATAAATTCCTACGTAAAAATCTCTGCATATAGACAGAAAACGTAAGGCCCGACTAAATATAAAGAGAGGAAACATGAAGAGAGGTATACACAGAAATCAACGATAGCAAGCTAAGATAAGGAATAAAGTCAAATGGTTAAAAGCTAAGATAAGGAATAAAGTCAAATGGTTAAAAGCTAAGCTAAGGTAACAGTACTTCGTGACCCTAGTTCTAAGCCTTTATAGATTTCAATAACAGAAACGTATAAAAAGTAGAAGTACTGAAAATTACTATGAATGCATTAAAAAAAGACAGAGATGTTACACCCTATGGCTGTGACCCGCACTACTCGGCTACCCTGGTCTTAAGTCTCCATACTTTCCTATCAGAGGTCATGTCCTTGGTAAGGGCTAAATCCTTCAAATCAAATCTCAAGCAGTCTTCCCACTTCTGCCTTGGTCGTCATCTCCTTCTGGCACCGTCGACTGTAAGCGACTCTACCCTCCTGACCGTATCCAACGGTTGATGCCTAAGGACATGTCCAAACCACCGTAATCTTTGCTCCCTCAATTTTTTGGATACATGCACCACCCCCAAGGACATCCTAATAGAAGAGTTTGGTGTCATGTCCCACAGAGTCTTACCACATGTCCATCGAAACATTCTCATTTCTGCGGCCTCCATCCTCCTTACGTGATCCTTCTTGATTGCCCAACATTCTGATCCATACAGCAGCGCTGGTCTTATTGCCATTCTATAAAATTTTCCCTTAAGTTTTAGAGGGACCTTCTTGTCACACAAAACTCTAGTAGCAGTCCTCCACTTTAGCCATCCCACCTTTATACGGTGTGTAACGTCCTCATCTACACCCCCATCTTTATGTATCATAGACCCTAGGTACTTGAAACAATCATTTGAGGGGAGAACATGTCCTTCTATGCATATTTCTACATCTTCATCGTTTTGGTTCCCACTGAAGTTTGAACATAAATACTCTGTCTTTTCAATATTGATCCTTAGACCTTTTTCTTCCAAAGCAGTATTCCAGGTAGCCAGTCTACTATTCAACTCAATTTTTGTTTCACCCACTAAGACAATGTCGTCAGCGAAAAGCATACACTATGGAACACCGTCTGGTGTCGCACAATAGATGTCATCCATAATCAATGCGAAGATGTAAGGGCTAAGAGCCGACCCCTGGTGGAGTCCGATTTCCACCGGGAATACCTCGGTGTCGCTGACTGTAGTCCTAACGTATGTAGTAAATCTACAATACATATCACGAATTGCCCGGATATACGCAGTTGGGATCTGTCTCGTTTCCAAGGTCTTCCAGATTGTATCGCGGGGAACACTATTATACGTATTCTCAAAGTCAACGAACGCCATGTGAAGATCTCTATTTTTTTCCCTATATTTCTCTATAAGCCGTCGAAGTAGATGAATCGCCTCCGTAGTAGACCTTCCTGGCATAAAGCCAAATTGATTTTCCGAAACCCTAGTAACCTGTCTCAACCTAACCTCTATCACTCTTTCCCATAACTTTCGGAATCGATAATCGTTTGATCCCAAATTATACCGAGAGATTAGCTTTGACAAGGTGAGTTCAAATCTGGCGGTTGTTTCACCCAAAAATATCCCAAAATTTGTGAATCTCAATTGAAACATTTTGGTTTCATCACTTTTGATCTCCTATCGTGGACTTTAGGGCATGTTCCGATAAAATTGAGGTCAAATTCGGATTCAAGGGGTCGAGGCAAAGCGACCCATGAAATCTAGGACCAAACGACCACCATCTATAACGGTCGACGGGATTCAGAGCATGTTATGATAAAATTGAGGTTGGATTCGGACTTAGGGGATCAAGACGAAGCAACTGATGAAATCTGGGACTGAATGATCACCATCTACAATCATCGATGATAACGTCTAATGTTGACGAACGGTGGACGGCTACCATATGTTTTTATTTTATTTTTTAAATTATTTTTATATTAAATAATAACAAAGAATGTCATGCCATATCAAAATAATAATAAAATAATTAAGAGTGAGCAAAACAAAAGAAATTCGAAAGTTTAGTGAGTAAATTAAAAAAAATTAAAAGTACAATGAATGAAATAAGAAATAAAGTAAAAATGAATGAAATAGAAAATAAAATAAAATTCAGTGAGGAAAAAATAGTTTACCCGTACATAAATTGTGTTTATATAATTTAACTTGTAACTTTTAACTTTAAATTATAACTTTTATAAGCCTTATATCCAAAAGGTTTAACATAAAATATTCAAAAAATATTTAATATAAAAAAATGTCTAAACTATAATATTTTTCTCATTTATGTGTCTAAATTATATTATTTTTCTCATGTAGGTGTCTAAACTATATTATTCTTTTTATTTACGTGCCTAAATTATATCGTTTTTCTCATTTATATGTCTAAACTATTTTTGGTCAATTCATGTGTTTAATGTTACAAACGTCATAATTTAAGTGTCTCAATTGTATTAGCATTAAAATATTTTATTATGTAACATAAGTCACATTCTGATAATTTAGAAAAAAAAATATTTAATTTTAAAAATCAAAATTTTCATAAATCTTTAAAAAAAAAAATCTAAAAACTGTGAAAATTTTTATTCTAATTCCTATACCCATGCTAGACACCTTCATTTGTCATAGTTGTTGTCTATCGTACTTCCACCAATGACACAATCACCTTCACTAATATTGAAATCATTTCAATTGTTGTCACCAAATGCTAATATTGGATAAAGGGGGGCATGGGGACAAGGAGACAATGAATGAGAGAGTAAGAGGAAGGGGAGGATCGGAGGAGGGATCGGAGGAGAGATCGGAGGTAGAAGAAGAGAGAGAGAGAGGGAAGTGGGAAGAGAGAGGGGCGGGAGGGGACGGGTTGGAAGATTTTTTAAAAATATTTTTAAATATGATAACCTTTTTAAAATTTCTTTATAAATAAAATCTTTAAAATTATCATAACATAATACGTGTTATTTAACGAGATTTTTTAACGATCGTTACAGTCAGGACACTTAAAATGATATTGTTGGAAACATTCTAAATTGACCGAAAAATAGTTTAGGCATGTAAATGGGAAAACGATATAAATTTGAACACTTATTTTTATATTAAACCTGAAAAAAGGTGCCTAAAGTTTTCACGGTCAATTTAGAATGTTATCAACGTTATTATTTAAGTGTATTGTCTGTCACAATCGTAAAAAAAATTATTATCTTGACACGTGTCAAGTCTATAAAATTTAAATTTTTTATTTTAAATAAAAATAAAAAATAATTATTATATTAAAGAAAACTAAATTTTTTTCTCAAATTACCAAAAGACCCCAAAACTTTGAATACCCTATACCAAACCCTAATTCCAATTTGTAGATCGCTGCATGTCTGTTGGAAAAATGATGCTGTCATTGCGATTGAACGACAAGAAAACAGGGGGGTTGACATGAACCAATTCCCAATCAAAGGATCAATATCAGCCTTCTATGGTGGTTCTCTTGAAGGCCGATCACAGGCTGTAAGTTATGGCGCTTTTCTCGAAAAATCATCGGTGATCGGTATATTTATCGATCTAACATCGGTCATATTATATTTTTTGATCTAACACCCGTAGCAGTAAAGCGCACTCCCTGTCCCGAGCTATATGCTGATTTGGCGTCACGTGGGTATAGCGCGCCCCCTGTACCGCGCTATACGCTGATATGACTTACACGTGGGTATAGTGCGGTTCCTGATCCGCGCTATAACTGTTTATCTAACACGTGAGGTATAGCGCGGTACAGGGGGCGCGCTATACCTTTAATTACCCCCAATCCTCCCTATAAATACCTTCATCCTCTATTACTTTCATCACACCATATTCTCTTAAATACTCTCTCTATTTAAGGTATATTTTATAATATTTTTAATATTATGTATTTAATTTATTTAAGTATTTTACTTTATTTAAGGAATACTCTCTCAAATACCCCCATCCACTAATATTTTATGATGGTTCTTCCATGCTCTCCACATTTAGGTCGAATAACCTACTACTTGCACGTCTTCCTATTGAACTGGAATGCATATCGACATTGAGATCAAAAAAGCTCGCAGTCAAATGCCTCCCCCTGGAGCTTGAAGTCATCGTGTCAAATGGAAACTGCACAGATGGTTGCGTCGATGACATCTCCATATGGTCAAAGAAATTTACAGATGAATGTCTTCCCCTTGAACTGGACGCGGTGTTGCCATATGGACTGTTCGTGGACCCATCTCGGTACATATCGTAAGGAGTTGCGGATAAATGTCTCCCCATTATGTCATTAAAATCATTACACATTACTGTAGTCGGGCTGTCAACTTGATCAACTTGTTCAGCCAGCCCATAGCGAGAGCTTAATGATTGACCCCGAACAATACGCACTTGAACAAAATGTGCATACACCTCAATAGCGGCGTCTGAATAATTACTTTGAGCTTCAACCATCATTTTAACATCATAATTGTTCGAAAGTTCGAACGCTGTATAAGTTAATGACAACAATGATATTGGAAATATGTACTGCAACGACGACATTCTTCTACTACTTCCAACATTAATCTTCATCGAAATCTTCGTTACCAGCTCCTCAAGAGTTATGTTTCTCTTGAATGATATTTTAACACGCTCATTTGATACGAAAACAACGCCGGTTTCATCTTCTCGAATTTCACCATCACAATAAACAATTGTTGAAAGTCGTGCAATTCTTTGAGTTTAAAAGTGCAGCAATATTATATCTGTAAAAAAAATTGAAACAAACCTGATTAAATAAATTATATATAAACCAAAATATAACACAATAAATTTTTTATTTTTTACACATTAACGTAAATAATTTAAATAATATAATTTTATATTATTACCTGTACCGCAAACTATTTTGACATATGCTCATGCTTTTCAATTTTACAAACACAAAAATTAATTGAAAATAATTAGTATAAATTTTTTTCAAATAATCATAATAAACAATAAGTATAATAAAAAAATTATAACGAAATTTATAACGAAAAATTTCACGAACTTCTAAATCAAATATGAGAAAATTACCAGAATTATTACTCGTTGACGGAATTGTTGTATTAATTTATAAGTTGAGAGGAGAGATGTGAGGAGATGTGAGAAACTTAACCGGGAGTGAAGGGTATTTATAACCATATAAGGCGCGGTACCTTCACCGCGCTATATGTAATTATTCAGATAAAATGTATAGTGCATACCAATTCATACCCAGGTATAGCGCTGAGCAGGGGCAGTGCTATATCCCTACGTGGCGTATAGCGCAGATCAGGGGACGCGCTATACCCCACGTGACGCCAAATCAACATATAGCGCGGGACAGGGAGCGCGCTTTAATGCTACTAGTGTTAGATCGAGAAATATAATCTGACCTCAGTCACAATGCTAAATCTACAAATATGCATTCCACTTGTTGCAATTAATTCAAATCAAACCATGGTCTTAAAAATTTTCTCAAATGCAAGGGTGACCGCGGCCGACGATGGAGTTGGTAAAGACGATAACAATGGTCGATGAGGAAGATGACAAAGACGACGAAGACGGCCGACAAGGTAAAATTTGTGCTAAATTTTTTTTAGAGATTTGATTTTTTTTAATTTTAGAGATTAAAATATTTTTTAAAAATTTAAAAGTAAAAATTTTAAAATTTCATAAATACAGCACGGGTTAGACCATTTGGTTTATTATAAAATGTTAGACTTTAAATTTGTCGTAAAAATAAACATCCTAAATTAGCTCCCAAATTAAAATCCCTCCTTTCCCCTTCATTCTCTTCTTTCTTTTCTTCCCTAATCCGACAACCTCCGCTTTCTTAGTTCTCCTCTGTCTCTCAAATCAATTTCGCAATTGATATCTGCGTTCCAAAGGTTACGATCTCTCTCTCTCTCTCTCTCTCCCCTTTTTTATCTTATTTTTCTCGGCCATGCTGTAACAATAATGCATCCCCCTATTGCTTTGAGATGTTTTCCTTTAAGGGTTTTTGTTTTGAAACTCAGAAATTAGTACTTTTTAGGATTGTGGGTCACCCTTGAACAACATTGAAGGTGATCGTTAATGTGAATTTTTTTAAAGGTTTTCCCTTTCTATGCTTGTTTTGATTAGTGGGGTTATTGCTTTCTTTTATGCCCATAGATAGGTTTATTCTTATTTTACTTCCATCGTTTCTTGTTCAAACAATATTGATCCTTAAATTAATGGTTTTTGACAAATTGTTCATGTTACTCTTCATTCATGTTTTTCATGATTTATGATACATTATCCTTAATAAGAGTAAATGTGTAGTTGAAACAATACATTAGCTTATTGTAAGAGGCCGATGGGTCTGAAAAAAGAACGTAATTAATGGATTTATTATTGTTCATGTATTCTAGGAGATTGATGTTGAGGGTTTAGATTCTTTGATGAGCTTACATGTTGAAGGCTCATGTTATAAATTGAGTTGAGTTGTTCATTATTCATAGTTTTCAGTAAATCGAGCTGGGTTGTTGATAGACCATAGTTGTCAGGACCAAGAATGAATATTGCATTAGATTCTTCATTTCCTTGATCACATGTGATTCAATGATACATAAAACATACAAAATAAGCTATGAAAGTAGGAGCATGGTTGTAATTTATTTGATTTAACGACTAAATTAGTTACATGATCAATTTTATTACTGCTACGGGAAGTATTCATATTCCTTATTAAGAAGAAAGATAGTTCAGGTTTTGTACCAGCAGGTGATTGTGAAAATGTTTACGAATCATGTTAATGGTTACGATACCCTGAAAACATTTTTCTTAATGTAGAAAAAAGAAAGAGACAAATCAGGCTCTAAATTTGTGAGAATCATATTTGGTTGGGAACAGTTGCTAATATGGTATAATGTACCCTTGAAATGGTGTTAAAGTTCCATACCTATATCGAGAAGGATTAGGATAAGAAATTGTGCTCGGTTGCCAAATTTATGGAAATATTTGTGTCATGTTAAATTATAGCGTATATCATATCCAATAAAATGACATTTCTATTTAGCATTTTAGCTTAATGCCTTAAATGTTGTGCTTTATTTTGTATACAGAATCCAGTATGATGGCTCAATTGACATAATGGTAATTGGCACCTGACTTGATGTTGCTGAAAATCCTCGATGGTAAGAAGTGAGAAATGCTTTCCATCATACCTAAGTTGTATCCAGATCTGAGAAATGCTTTCCATCATACCTAAGTTGTATCCAGATCGTATAGGATCCTTTGTCAACTAGTTTTGTTAATGCTGATGTAACATTTGTTCGAAATGGAAGACGGGCCGAATATGAATCCTAGTGGAACACAAGGTACTTTATTAACTAACACCAACACCGACACCAAAAGCTATAATGACATTATGACTCGCCGTCTAAAGAACAGAGAACGGCAGCGTAGATATAGGGCCAGAAAGCGACTTGAAGCTGACATGCAGAAATCTCATGTCCTAAGCCAACCAACATTACCAAAAGTGGAGTCGCAACTAAATGGGACCTTTAACAATGGGACGGCACGTGTTTATTGTAAACGGGATTGGAAAAAAGATGCTAGAAGAGCTCATATATTCAAGGGTCAAGACACTCTTAATGCTTCTATCCAGTCTACTCTTGACACCACTGTTGAAAGCCAAATATCACACTTGCCCCCTGGGATCAGGGACGAAGGATCTGCTGGAAGGGAGTGCAATTTAGAGAATTCTGGTAACTTGCACAACAGTGAAACTAGGAAACCTAAGCTCGGTCGAAGAGACTGGAAAGCAGATGCAAGAATGAAGAAGAGTTGAGTTGGTTTTACCGAGCTGTTTTGTAGAATAAATGTATCACTGTTACAAAATCGAACGGTGGATAGCGGTTGTTTGGTTTGCTGAAGATCCCGAAGCTTTGCTGGCTATACAACTTATGGTGTGGTGAGTCGGTTTGTTTCTGTATTTAGGAAGAGCTTTTATTGTTTTGTGAACTTTTACAACATTTTCATTTTCAGATGGCTACATAGTATATATATCCAACATGAAGAACTATTGTGTGCAAACTTTATTTAAGTATAGAATGCTTTACAGAAAGTGGAAGATTAAAATTGCACGCGAGTTTCAATTGTCAAGAAAGATGATGGTATTATGTGACATCAACATTTAATCATTGCTTTCTCATCCTGCATGGTTGATCACGTTGGGGATGGTTAAATTTCTTGAGAATGCCTTTGCCTGCATCATGAATACTCTGTCCTAAGGAAGTAAAATTTGAGGATTCCTCATCCTTTTAGCTTTAGATTAGATATATAGGAAATTCAAATCCATGCAGCTCTGTAGGGTACCTTTTGAATCATATTTGTTACATCTAAAAGGAACTTTTAAGGAAGGGAAGGCGTTGATAATGCAGTTCTGTATATGTTCAAATTATATATATATGAGTTGTTGATTGAGGTTTAACTTGATGGATATAATTCTTATATTCAGCGTATAAAAAATAAATAGATTGAAATTTATTCCGGTATAGTGGAGGGACAAGTATCATGGTTAGGGGTACTTATCAATCAAGTTGTGAGTTGTGCAGTGTTTCACTCATGTTCGTTACAAATTTTTATTACTCGATCAGACTTGTTGCTCGCTAAGCTTATTAAAGTTTTATTCGACTCGTTGCTTGTTAAGATCGTTAAAATTTTGCTCGATTTATGCTCGTTAAAAAAATTGTTACTCGACTCGTTACTTGTCAAGTTCATTGCTTGTCTCATTGCTCGTTAAATTCGCCGAAAATTTTACCTTATTTTTTTAATTATAGGTAAAATCTACTAATGTTATATAAAGCTTAAAATAAATATAAATTAATAAATTTAATAAAAATATCAAAAAGAGCGTATGAAACAATTTTAAAGTTTAAACTTCAAAGTAACAAATCACAAATGCATTAAAATAATAATTAGCGTTTGATTTTGGGTGTAGTAAAATAATAATTATTAATTAATAATTTAATAATTTTTATTGTTTATTAGAAAATTAATAGAATAATAATTTATCATCTTTTTTGTTATCTATTAGTAAATTAGTACTTTTTTAAATAAAATAATTTTTTAAGATAATCACTAAAAATTTATATAAAAAAATTAACGAGCTGCTCGTGAACTTGTCGACTTGGGTTGGACTTTGCTCGACTCAACTCGTTACTCAACTCATTAAGATATCGAGTTCGAGTCGACTAAACTCGAATTAAATTTTAATCGTGTCGAGTTTAAACTGCTCACGAGCTACTCAACTCATTAAGTACTCCTAGTCATGGTTTAACTATTTATGATCATTACTTTTTTATTTCAAATGTAAAATCTCTCTTTCTTTAATGTTGAAAAACCAATGTTTGATATATGGAAAGTATGTGTCCTTACCGATTAGAGACACATTTAAAAATGTCACGTCAATAACATAGATTGATCATTAGTTAATTAACAGTTTTTATCTATCAAGAAATATTTTTTTTAAAAATTGAAACGTTACAGGATAAAATATTTTTAAAAAAAGAATAGAGTGCAAAGTGATCATTGCACAAACATTGGGGGTGTAATTTTGTCGTTATGTCAAATTATAAAATACTCACATAGAATCTATATAGTGGTCTCAATAGTAAAAAGAAATTTGTTCTCTTTAGAGGATCTATATTGGAGTAATTATGTCTGCAAAATATGTGTACGTTATAAATAAACTAAGAAAATTCATGTTCATATATTAAAATTATGATCACCCTAGATTATTTTTAAAAAAAAATATTAAATACTATGACTTATGTCAATTATAAGGTTTTTACGATTAGTTAGAAAAAAAATTCAAATTCATCTAAATATGCATAAAGCTATAAGATAACAATGGTACAACTCCACAACCCATAGGTAGCGTTCGAAGCTGAGTGACGGTAACCCTAGGCTGGTGAGGAGCCCTGGGATGAGGAGGGATTGGAGCTTTAAGATGAAAAGATGAGGAATAAGATGAGAGTACGTTGATGCATGACCTTGACCATTACAATGACTTCGTTTCTACATATGGAGTACCTTTCTTTCGGTTGACCAAAAATGATTATAATAGTAATGTTCAATACTAACAAAAGAATATATAATTGAATGTGGTCGAACATTCAATTACCACCCAAACATTATAATGGAATAAATGAAAATGCTCTCCTTGTTTGTAGAATCGCTGCCTCTACTTTTATGGCTCCATTCATTTACCACCCAAATCCACCATCTCAAAAGAAATTGTTGGACTTCTACCTGCTTTTTTATACTACCCTTCTACTTTCAGTTTAACTGAACAAAACAACTCAAAATTACTCTCGAGAATCACTTTTAAAAATAATTTTTCTGCCACAAATGCATTACTAAACTTCTTAATTTCTTTTTTATTGGATTTTTTAGGGTAAACTACCTCGTTAGTCACTAAATTGTTAGGTTTATTCTGTTTGTCACAGATTAAATTTTTTATGAATCTAGCTACCAATGTTTTAAATTAGTAGTCATCTAGTCATTGATCGTTAAGTTCGAGATTACATTGAGAGGATAACCAATATTTGACATGCTTTTCTTCAATCATCGATGTTGTAGGGCATTTTACAACTTTTTTGGTAATATCTTTTAGATCGTTCAGAGTACGTTGTTCGATTCATTTAATGATGGTGGACTTGGATTTGAATCTTTTATGCTTGGTCCATTTATTACATCTTTGGTTAATTTTAGTTATCCAGCGATGTAGTTCTTACCACTTTTTTCTCCTCTATTATGCTATTCTTATTTACTTGGATTCTATACAATGATTAGTAGATTGATCTTTCTTGTTTGTATTTTTTCTCATGTGTTTAGATTGAATATTGTATTTTTTTCCCACTATTGATTTTTCTAAAGAAATGCAAGTTCCATTGTTAATAGCGTCAAAATTTTGTTAAATTCGACATTGTTATCTCTACTCTTTGTGACACTTTTCTTTGCACTTTGTGACACATATAGGTTTTTTCTTTTCTTAGTCTACTTTTCTTTTGTGAAGTCGTGGTTTGAAGATAGCAGACATAGAGAAGAGTATGACGGGTTTATCGATCGATGACGATGAAGAGGAAGTATTGGTTCTGGTTTTGGTTCACCCTCTATGATTGTCAGTTATGAGAATTTGGGTTCATTTCACTATCGAGTATTGTTAATTTTTAGTTGATGCAGGGCTACTTTGGCTAATGTTTGGTATCCAATTGGTGGAATATCTATCTTAAATCTAGGGATAGGTCTCTCTTCTGACTTTATCATATGGTAGATGCAGATAGTATAGAAATAGGAGGTCCACGGTGTAGACACCCGTTTTTGTCCGGGTTTTTTTATCGTTATTTTATTATTATTATTATTATTATTATTATTTATTATTATTATGTTTATTAATTACATATTACAATTTTTGCAGGCCAAAGGCCCAATCCCGGAGCCCAACAATCAACCCATCAGATTAGGGTTTCAAACCCTAAATCAGATTAGGGTTTCAAACCCTAAATCAGATTAGGGTTTCAAACCCTAAATCAGATTAGGGTTTCAAACCCTAATCCCCTAAATGATCCAGCCGCCGCCGCCAGCAGCAAGTGAACAGCCGCGCCGCCGTCACTGTTCCGGCCCGTCTCGCTCCACTCCGATGGTCCAGCCGCCGTTCCCGCGCCACCATCGTCATCTACAGTAAAAAAATCAATCAAACAGCAACCCCATCAACCCAAATCAGAAAAAATATATATATCCAAATCCTAAATAAAAAATCCCTATAATCCCGAAAATCCGGGATTCAATCACCCTAAATCAACAACCCATAATTTCCCCTATTCCTAGACCTCATCATCTCAACCAAATGCAGGATTAAAGCACATGCAGTAGAGAAAGGAGGGATTCGGTTGAGGTTTGAAAAAACAGAAGGAATCCGAGAAAACCCAAAAAAATATGAAAAAATAAAAAGAAAAAGGAAAGAAGAGATTACCTTTCGTGATACCTCTACCGTGGGCTTCGCCGAGACCAAAGCTAGGCCACCGCACCGAAGGTAAACAAAAGGGGTTATCGTTTTTGGTTTAGGGTTGAGTGTTTCAAGGGTTTTGAGCGATTTAAACAGAGGATAGAGGGAGAGTTTAGGGTTTTATTCGTATAACCCCGTGGCCACCGATTCACGGTGGCCGGGGTTTTCTTTTCTCTTTCGGCAACAAGAAAGAGGATTGAGGGTCTTTAGGGGTCGGTTTGCTCCCCATGGCCACCGTCATGGTGGCCGGGGAGCCTCTGTTCTGTTGTTGCGGCGAGGGAGAGGGGGAGAACCTTGAGAGCTTTGTTTTCTCTCTGTTTTGAGAGATGAGAGCGGCTGAGAATGAGCAAAACAAGGGTTTCAAAACCCTATTTTGGGTTATGATGGACCCAAAACGACGTCGTGTAAAAGGGTTCAGGGTATGCGTGTTTTAGCATGAAAGGGGTAAACCACGCTTTTAGTCCCTGATTCTTTGTAACCGCACGATTTAGCCATGGAATGAAGTTTACATTATTTCGATTTGAGCCTTTATCTTTTCACTTTTACATTTTAGTCACTATCCTAGGTATTATAACATTTTTGTTTATATTTGGTTCTGGTTTCAGTATTTATAAATGTTACATCTTAGCCACTGATTTAATATTTCATGTATGTTTCTTTGATATTCGAATCTGGCCATCACATTTGTAAATATTTATTTTTAGTCACTGATTTAATGTGTTATCAGGTTCTGTTAATATTAGAATCTAGTCATGGTATTTGTAAAGATATTATTATGGTCACTGTTTTACATTTGGTTTATTTATGATTCGGCCTTCATGGTTGTGTTTATTTCATTTAAGTCCTTTTTTTTGTTATTTTATCTTTGGGTAAGTTTCTGCTAGTATCATAGTATTTTATTTTCTTATATTTCAGTCCTTAATTGAAATGTTGTGTATTTTACTTCGAACTTTAACTTTCATCATTCTTATATTTTAGTCATTTTGCACTGTTAATTGTTTTTAGTAAATGTTTGATTTCACTTATTAATTTGTGATGTGTTTATTTTATTCCTTGCAGTTAGTTTACTTTTTCATACTTTGATTTGCCAGGTTTGATGTTTGTTCATTTAGGCCTTAATATTAAATTATAACGTGTATGCTTGCTT